CTTTCTGGATCTTACTCTGGGAACTTCGTATCCCAAATCGGAAGAACTTGTCAGGAATATGCTGATGTCGCCCCATAAGATGCATCAAAATAGGGCTGAGAAGAGATGGGCTCTTGGGCCTGTTTTGGAGATCTCCTAGTGCAGCTGCCTGCATCTTTCGGTGCTGAAATACCTGGAGAATCTTCCTTTTGCTCATACTTTTTTGAGTTAGTCTAATAAAAGATACTGGATTTACCCAAAGAACCTTGCCTGCCTATGTCTTTAGACCAACATGGCTGCAACCTATACCCCTGGTCTTTGCTTATACTTTTAGCCCCTGTCTCAGTGTTGTTGAAGAGCCCCCCATTCACAGCTCCCTCTGCTCTTTGTAATGGTAAGGGGATGAATCAAGGTCTCATCTGTAGTGGGCCAGGAGAGAACAGAATAGATATTTTTCTGTGTAGGGAGCTCTCCCTTGGTACCTATTTGTAGAGACACAAGAGCAAAGAAGCCATTGTCCTGGATCTGGCTCGAATTTAACTGTACCTCTAGTCTTCATTACAGTGGAAGTGCTGTCTGCATGCTGACTTTCATATCTGCTGGCAAAAGCACGTCTGGCTGGCATCGGTTATCCTTCATCCAGGAACAAGTACCACAATGTGGGCAGCACCCAGCAACACAGCCAGCTTGCCTGTAACCACTGGCATTGACAAAATTGATTTTTGTGGTGTGAGAGCAGCAGGACAGATTTCATCTCTGGTGGGTCTCTTGACACTTTGATACATAGCAGCGCTGTCCCTGAATGGAGCTTAAATACTCCAGGGCTACCTTCTGACTGGGTGAAGGGATGTATAAAATGAGAACATATGAGAGAGTATTAACAGAAAGGCACACTTTGATTTACTGATACTGGCTCCCAGCTTTCTTGGTGGATTGATATGCTGTCTTCTGGATCTGGAACAACTTTTTCACTCCCATGCACAAAATAAAGGGGCTTACACGGACCTTTAAAAGGGACTCTTAGAAGTTGGCCTCTCACTGTAGGATTCCCATTTAATCTGGATGTTGTGTTCAGAATATGTTTCACTTGTTCACGTGGCAGCTGTAAATGTTTCCTCTGGCCCCACATCCCACTCAGCATCTTATGGCAGTTTTAGACTGTGAGCAAGTGGCAGTGGGAGAGATGGTTGAGTGCCTTTCTATCCCAGCAGCCCTGTCTTGCTTGGTGTACCATTCTGCATGGACCCTATGTTATGGAGCCTAAATTTTCAAAAGGAGCTTGTTACTTTCTGTTCCTGTATCAGAGCTCTGTAAAGGGCCTTGTGGATTCAGCCTCTTTATGTAAGACACCAAGAAATCACTTCTGCAAACGAGCATGGTCATTTGAAGACTCGTCATGAATGGCTGGTGCTCCAGCGTGGGCATGGGAGTAATTTATACAGCCCTCATGGAGATGCATGACATTCAACAGGCTTGTCCTGGTGAGATTATGTGAATAAATTAAAAGATGCAGGATTTAGCCAAGACTTACTGGAAAAGGCTGCTTCTTCTGGAAAATGTAATGTGCCTCCAAAAAAGGTTTCACATGAGGAAACATCAGGCTGTTCTCTCACTGCTCTATCTATGGCAGAATTGCTGACCATTGGGTGTAAGTTGGGATGCTACTGGAGCAGAAGTGTGGTAGCAGGAAGAAAAAGGTGTATTCACCCATGTTATTCACCCAAACACAGTGCACACAGGCCCTGATGCTGTCAGAGAACAGGTGCAGTAGCTCCAAGAAGTAAACTGCTGACATTAGGGATTCAGGACCATTACTTAGGTCACAAAAACTTCTTCGTGCACTGTGCAGTGTGTCTTGCCTATGTTCTTTCACTTAGTAAAACTGTGTTATGGGTATTTTGGCTCAAAAAAACTCTGGGCATTAAAAGGAGCCAAGACTTCCTGTTGTCTGCCTTCTTCCATGTCAAAGGCGGGGGGACCCATTCATAATGGTCAGGTCTGCACTCCTATTGCTCACATTCTGGGAGGACCAGTCATGAGGCGTTTTCCACGCTCACTAGTGCATTTTTTGGACGCTTTCCTTTATTTCCTATGAAGCAGGCATGAGAGTTTTCAGAGAGGTTTGAAACTGTGTGAAGGCAGGAAGGGGATTGCTTTACGGTGTTGGAGTTTCATAGTTTGTAGGGGCTGGAAGGGACCTTACAGATCATTGGGTCCAGCCCCACTGCACTCAGTGCTTAAGAGGAGTCTGCTTGCCCTTTCTCTCCACATCAGTTGTCCATTCCAGGCCAGGAGCAGCCTTTACAAAAGAAATCCCAAGCAATCTGTTAGAAACAGTGCACCAAAAGGATTTGCTTCCTTTTAAAACAGCCCAGTTAGCAAACCTATTCAGTTTATGCCCATTCTTTATTCCTAAGACCGAATAGTCCTTTCCTGAAAATAAGCAGGACAAAGGTAAGGCAAGGAGCTGGGTGGGAAAAAAATCTTGCAGAGAAACAGCCCATCTCTGAGTTAAATGTCGAGGTGGAAAAGACGGGGCAGGATCAAGAGCGATGATACCAGCGTGCAAAGCTGAGTTTATAGCACACTTAAGCACCCGCTAGTAACACCGAGAGCCCTATCCAATAATACCATTAAATACACAAGGATCGAAAGCACGGAAATTATCCAGCTGTAAGAGGCTCATGATCAAGCCAGTGCCTGGAATAATTAGCCCTCCCACCTGGATAGACACATGGTCATTGTCTGCCGTGCCCTCCCCACCCCTTCGCTCCAAATGAAATTGCTTCCCACCCCCACTTCTGTTGGGGTCCAGGTCTCCTATCCTGAGGGAGCATGAGCCTGTCTTTATTCCTTGCCTGTTTGCAATGGCCCTGATACACCCCACAAGAGTTGGAGTGCTACTCCAGCTATAATTGACGGGATCAAAGCCGCCTGGGGTGCATTAGCATTGCTGCTGGAGGGGAGGCAGTGGGTAGAAAATAAACAGGTTCAGAAGCTCTGGGGACGTTTAGCTGTGTTGCAGGCAGCGGAAAAGATTTTGCCGCTTTAAGCTGCGCACTCAGGGTGGGGGCACTTGCCTCTTGCAAATTATGCCCTAGCTTCAAACACATACCACAGATGCATTTTTAAGGGCTTTTGTCTATTTGTCTCTCAGAATTGTTTTGATGCTCGCACACGACTGTTTTACAAGTATAGCAACCTAATCCGTTAATAGGTTTATATAGAACAGCTGTCAAAATGTATCTATAATGAGCCATGTATGGGAGGAGGATGAGTGTAACTGCTGATCTGCAACAAAAATCTTAGTAGTGTCTTCTCCTTGACATTACTGTGGCTGAGGTCGGGCTGTAATTTATCTGAGCGCTGTGACAACCGAGCAGTATCGGCAGTGGGAACATGCAAGAGATTGAGACCCCTGTCCGTCTGGGCTGGTTTGCGCTTGCCTTGCTTTCAGGTGGCTGATGAAGGTTTGCTGCTCACTCTCTCCATGGGTTGTGTGTCTTCATTAGAATAAAAAGTCAAATGTGTCCTCCTGACCTCCCCATCACCTTCTGCTGTGTCCCTGGTTGCAGATGGGCAGGTTGAGGCATCCTCAGCTGGTATGAAGTGGGGTAGTTCCAGTGACTTGTCTGTTTTGTGGCTGTCAAGAGAGGAAGAATGGCCTTGAGATGCAGGCATGGGATTGATAATGGGGGCACTTGGATTATTTCTCAGCTGTGTTTCTTAGGGTACGTTTGAATGGCAGACTGGAGTGTTAAGTAAAAAGATCCAAGCTAGTTTTAAATGAGCTTCGTTGGGTACCAGAAACAGCCTGGCTGTGGCAGGAGGGAGCAGAGCTTGCTGAAGTGCTGAGTGCTGATTCCATGGAAAGGTGTCACAGCTCCTGGGACAACGGGATTTTGCTTGGTTGTATTGGCAAGTGCCAGAAATCTCATGCAGATGGTATTTTAGCTATTCTCCGTTGGGATCTAGTGGTCTGCTTTGTTGTTCTCTTCATGTTGAAGGTGTTCAGTCCAGAAACAAGTGAAAGCAGCACAACTGTACAGTAGAGTTGGCAAGTCACGGCCTAACAAGAACATCAAGAACTTTGCTCTAGTGCTCGTAGCATTTGCCTTGTGCATCTTCCCAAATAAATGGACAGGCAAGGTTTTTTGAGTAGATGTGATATCTTTTTTTTGACCAACTCAGTAGTTGGAAAAAAGTTCTTAGCAAGCTTTTGGGTGCTGTCACCCTTCTTCAGGTATAGGAAGACTCTGAGGCTGGGCTAGAGGGGTTAGGCAAGGCTGGGGTCTGGATTAGGAATGAAAGATGGATGGGTAAGAGTTTTTCTGGAAGGCTCCATTCACCATTCAAAGCACTGTTTTGAGGAGAGAGGCTGCACCTCTGAAAGAAGTCCATCTCCCTCCTTCCCTTGGGATTTGTGTTTGATACGCAATCTCCAATCTGGAAATTGGATTCTTAGGCCAAGAGACTGTGGTCATTTTGTGTTGTGCAGCTGGACAAAGAAGTTGGCAACTATGAAGGTCTGGCCAGCTGTTAATAGGTGGGTCACCTACAGTACTTGGGGCTGTGAGGTAGCGTGGTAAATAGGTGCTGAGCTGCCTGAAAACAAACCTTGGATTTTGCGTTGATCCTCTTGTTTAATTTTGCTTTTGTTGTTAAGACAACTTAGAATTTATGAAAGGGGCCTGTTGGGCAGTCCTGGAGACTGCTCTGCTCAGCCTGCAGTGCTGTTTTGGCTGATCAGAACCCTTTCACTAAATCTGCCAGGTTGTTGTTGAAGTTTTCCCTATAGATCAGATCTTGCTGCACTTAATTTTAGCTACATTTTAAGTTCTAGTACTGCCTGTTTGGTGAGCACAAAAAACAGCAACTAGTTGTAGTTTTGCAACAATTCAGTTTCCTTTCTTTATTTCCCTCCTCCCCTTCCCTGTTCCTTGGAAACTTGCAAAGTAAATTTTTTTCCACTGGAAGTGGGGATCTGCATGGAAATGTCACTGACATCTCTTGCTCTGCAGGTTACAAAGCCCTGAAGGCGTTGATGAGAACACTGGTGGACCTACAGGATGAGCTGTTTTATCAGTATCCCGGCACGAGGCATCTGGTAGATGGAAAGCGCTCAAATGTGGAAAGGTGAATAGAGAACAAGACTGGGCCTTGCAGTGGGCTACCTGGTAGCTAATTTTTTAAAGAAGAACAAAATGCAAACTTTCTAAACTTTTCCATCTTATCTTTTCTCTCTCTTTTCTTGTTGCAGTTGAGTAACAGTCACTGCACCCAGAGAGCTAGTAGACCTCTCATTTTCACAGAAAATGTGTTTTGTAACTTTTTGGCAGGGGAGGGAATCCTAAATTTGTTGACTACCCATTGTTCATTCCTGATCTGTGAAGAAAGGTGACTAGCTCTGGAACTGTTGTTGTTTCTTACTTGCCAGCTTGTAGAACTTTGCTTTTTGTTTTTAGTGATGATGAAATCCCCAGTGGCAGTGACGAAGAGATGGGAGGTGAGGAACGAAAGAGGAGGCGAGGCCCACCCAAGCGAAAGCTGGAGATGGAAGACTATCCAGAATTCATGGCCAAGCGATTTGCTGACTTCCGAACGTATCGGGACAACACGTTGCAGAAGTGGCACGACAAGACAAAACTGGCTTCTGGAAAGCTGGGGAAGGCAAGTCTGGGGGCACAAGTGCGTGCGTTTGTGTGCATTGGTGTGTCTCATTTCCCAGAAATGTTTAGAATAGCAAGTGTTTCACATCCAATTTGTGAGCATTTTAAACTGAATCGAGAGCTACAATAATAAGCATTAAAACCCAACCCCCTCCCGTCCAGAATAGAAACAAACTAAAAAAAGCAGCTCCTGAGAGTTTGGGAAATGGGTATAAACCTTGAGGCTTCAAGGGCATGAACTAGCTTCTACTGTTGAGGGTCAGGAAGAAAATTTCCCCAGTGGTAGGTTATTTCAGAGCTACCTTTTGCGGGGCTTTTCTATGTTTCTCTGAAGCACATGGTGCCAGTCACTGTTAGAAACAGGATGGCTGGATTGGTTGAGTATGATGTTTTCTGAATTCCTAATCGACTAGCTATTTGTATCTTGGAAAGTAACCAATGACATATAATTTATTGTAAAAACACAGAACTGAGCACTTGAATTCAGCTGGTAATTCATTTTGCCTGAAGATCCAGGGTTCTCAACATGAAGGGGTTAATATTAATCACTTGGACGTTTGTCTGAGCTTGAATGGTGAAGCTAGTCTATTAAGTTAGGCTTTCAACTTGCCTCAAGTCAGTAGTTATAAGATGGAAAAAGAAAAAAAACAACACCCCTACAACAAAAAAACAAAATCCAAACTCGCCCTCCTCCTCCTGCGTGGAACACTGTCTGCTTATCCACTGACATGGAAAGATAGAGGAACATTACTGCCTTGAGCAGCAGCTTTCTGCATTATCTGACACTAGTTAATGTTGTTTCAGGGTTTCAGTGCCTTTGAGCGTTCAGTCTTGACTCAGATTGATCATATTATGATGGACAAAGAGAGATTGCTACGACGGACACAGACCAAGCGATCGGTGTACAGAGTGCTTGGAAAGCCAGAGCAGGAATCTCCTCCCGTCCCTGAATCTTTGCCTGGAAATTCGGTAAGCATTTTTATTTATAAAACTCCTGCTATGGCAGTAATGAAACTCTCAAATGAACTAATGTGGGCTTTTAGCCGGTAACATTTTGTTTTTTTGTAGTGTGTGGGTGAGTGACAATATCTTTAATAGGCCAAAAAGACTGAGCTTCTTTGCCCTTCTGTTTCACAACGATTGGATTGGTTCCTATGTCAGTTCTTGGTAGTCAGTACAAGACTCAAGGTGGGGTTATGCCAATATTTTACCTTGATTCTACTGTAGGTATTGACTCTGTCACAAAACCCATATCCTATTTCTTAAGGAAGCCACTGCAAAATTTGGCCCTGAATAGCAGCTTTTAAAATTGTTGCCCCAGGAAGTTGGAACTAAAAATTGCACTATGGTGTACCTGCAAATCTTGTTCTTAAGTCAGTACATAGGACGCAGTAGAACATAGAATTATTGTACTTGAAAATAAATTTCCCCTACATTTAAAAAATGCATTGATTCAGACCCATGTAAGGGCAGTAATGTATATGAGACAGATTCTGTACAACCTGTGCTCATTTTCTAGCTGAGAATAAGGGATTTTAACACTGGCAGTCTGTTTTTGTTGTCTTTCCTTGCAGCCGAAATCCTTCTAATAATCAGATACTTAAACTAGAAAAAAAACCCCAATGAGGTTATAATAGGAGATGTTAACATCCATCCACCATGCCTTTAAATATTTGTAAGCTCAGCATGCTGTCATCCATGTTCGAGATGCACAAGACCTACTGGATCCTATTATTACTTGTGAATACAAGATTGTTTCCTGTTATATACTTAACTACTACTTTTTGTTAAGCTTTACTCTAAATGTCACAAGCAGTGGGGCTTCCACCACTGTTCTCTGGAGTCCTTTCCACTTCCTGATATATTTAGATAGACATCTCTTTCTAAAAGAACCAAGACTGTATTTATTGAAGAATCTACAAGAATGTGTTGAAAATAGTGCTTTAGGTTTGAATTAAGATGCAACGCTGTGTCTGCTTAAGATGTGATGTCCATAACATACACCCATATGGGCCTTACAGACATTGTCACTGCTCTTCTAGGAAGTCCTTCCTCAGACAAAATCCAACACACACCTGAAAGATGTGGATGAAGAGATCTTTGACGATGATGACTTTTACCACCAGGTGGGTTTCTGGAGAGCTGTTCTGTTTCATGGCTTGCCTTGGCTTATGGCACTTCTAGAGTTAGTGCAGTTGGATCCTCTGTCTAAAGAAAACCAATGTTTGTTATTAGATTTAACATCTGTAATTTCTACCTTTTCTTTGTATTTTATGATGTCCTAAAGTTTTACTTTTCAGACTGCCAAGCTATCTGAGCCCAGTCTTTCAGTTCTCCTAGCACTGGTGTAAGGTCCTGCTGAGCTTTATTAGAACAAGTTTACCCATGTGGGTCAGGATTGTTGAACCTGTGGTTAAAAGAAGAAACCAAAAGGTTCTGTGCAGGGGAGTGTGCCATCAAAGCCACAATTCCTGTAGCTGCTCAATGGCACATTAGTTACCCTTGTCCCAACACACAGGTTGTTTAACATGCATGCAGGTAGAAAATACAACTGAACTTCCAAAGCTCTACTAGGCTTGGATTGATCTCAGTGATTTTTATTTGTGGAAGTCTTGGAGAGACAGAAACTGCACAATACTCCTGAAGCAGCAGGCTGGGGTGGGTGGGGAATCATTGTGTTTGTAATTTGTGTAGCAAAGGACAATGCCAGCAGCATAAAAAAACATAATGAAAATTACAGTAGTTTGAGGAATATGGTTTGCTATATTAAGTGCTGGCCCTGTGCCCAAAAAATTACTGTTCGTATGAGGATTCAGAAAAACTTTTAACATCAGGACTAAACAAATACAATTATAGCATTAGAAAGCTGGAAATTTCTAAATTGAACGGTTCATTAGACCTGCTGGTGAAATCATGGGACAATTGGAGTATGGGGAAAGAGGCTGGAATTATAGCCTAAGATATGATAACTAATTCAGCCAGAAATATTTAAGTGCTTTCAGGGTTAATAGGCTTTAAAAGTACAGGGTCTGGGCCAGTGAACAGAACATACTTGTGAAGTCAGTATGCATTATTTACATTTTATAGCTGGGGAGAGCATGGGGAAACTGGTGGGTGCAGTTTTTACATGTTTTCAGCATTGCTGTAATGTGGCTTCTGTTGAGATTAATGGGAGTTTTTCTCTAGACCAGAGCTTTCCAAACTTTTCATGTTGGTGACACACTTTTTAGACATGCATCATTTCGCGACACGATAATTCAGTTCCGGGGGAGGGGCCAAGGGAAGCAGACGCGAGTAAGGGAGCTCCGCGGTGCCCTTCCGCAAAATTTTCTGCATTTCGCGCGACACACCTACACATTGCCGCTGACACACTGTGTCGCGGCACACAGTTTGGAAAGCTCTGCTCTAGACTGTCCAGTGACAGAGTTTAGGACAGGGCTGAACACTTTTGAAAATCTGGCCCTGTAAGCAATCTGCTCAAGGCAGCCAACTGCAGATCAGGAATGGGACCTGAATCTCCTACCTGGCACAGTGCATTTACCATAAGAACATCCTTCCTAGCACTGGTGTGAGATGAATGGCATCTCCATGGCAGGCAGAGGCTTTCCATCCTTCTTCAGAGCCTTTTGAATGGAGGCAGTGGTAATTTCTGCTTTTCAGCAGCAATGACTAGAAGGCAAGATCTGTGCCAGATATCATGCAGATAATATTGAGAGAGAATTAAATGTTACTCACATCTGTAAGAGTCCAAGTGTGTAACGAGCATATTGCAAATTAAGCCAGCTTAATAAGTTACTGCAATGAACAAGGGGAAATAGCTTTGACTGGCAGTGCTTCAGCCTGGACAGCAGGATTTTATTGGCCCTGGAATGTGAAGTTTTGGAAGAAAAATAGCAGTAACCAAGTGGCCCTTCCTCCCTACTAATAATTTTAATTTCGATAAATTTTGATTCCAGAATTATGACTAGTCACATCTTAGCTTTTCCCCTTACTGGTTAATTGGGGTGCTGGGGTTAATCTAAATTAAAACTTAAACTAATAGAGGTCATTGAGGGAAGAGAAACACCTGAGTAAAACAAATGGGTCTGCCAGGCACAACTGTATCTTGGCCATTTCCCAAGAGGGAAGTGGCAGCAAATTGGAGTTGGTTCAGCGTTCTGCAGAGGTGAATGATGGGTGACACTCGTTTAATGTACAGCATCTCCGGAAACGTTCCAGATTGCATTACTCGCTTTACCAACTGCTGCCACCCGCGCACAGTGAATAGGAGCGGGAGCAGTCGACAACATCTGGCAGCACAGCAAGGAATGGGTGCAAGTCTCGAAACCCCATAGACTCTAAATATGGTGCTTAGGACTGTGGAGGCTTTAATCACTTACCAGTCCCTGGCAGCAGGCTACGACAGCATATCCTAGCCTCGTACATCACGCACAGACATCTGCTGAGCCGCGAGGCAGCTACACATTCATTTTCCTTTCTTGCTTTTTTATCCTTTCTCCCTCCCTCCCTTCCAGCCTTCTCTTCTCCTCCCGTCCCCAATATGCTTCTTGGAAGAGATGATCTGTAAAGATTACCGCTTCATTGTGTGCAAGTAATTGTGGGGATGCCAGCCCCTTGACAGACTCAGCGTAGCACCTGTTCCGCTGACCTGGTTAATTTCTTCTGTTGAGTGGGATTTGGCAGAGATTGGAGCTGAAGCCAATTCAGTGATAAGGCTCAAGAAAATGGCTGTATGTTTTCTGTCACCTCCCAATTAAATTGGTTTCATAAAGTGCTTTCCTTTATTTGTCAGGGTAGTAAGCTGGAGCTGAGTGTTGCATTCAGAAAGGGTAGAGTGCATTACAATAGACTGGTGACAATACAGCGAATGTGTTTTTCTTTCAGATGGGTCATAACCAGGGATCCTGGTTTTCTCTGATTTAAAAAACAAATCCCCAATTTCTGAATTAAAAACAGTAACCCAAAATCCCCATTTTCCCATGATTAAAACATGTATATAGTGGCATTTCATTTTAATCACGGAAAAATGTGTTTTAACACCACTCATACATACATACATTACATACGCATCTCCACCACCCCCACAATTACTACACCCCACAACAGAGCCGTCAGCATCCCAGGATCTTACAGCTGCACCTCCAGAAATGTCATATACCTCATCCAATGCACCAAATGCCCTGATGGAAAATATGTAGGAGAGACCAAACAACAACTGCGCACCAGAATGAACGCACACCGGAAATCCATCAAAGACAGAAACACCCAATTACCGGTGGGGGCACATTTCTCATAGGCGGGCCACTCTCTTTCCAATCTCTCAGTCCTGATCCTCAAGGGAAACTTACACAACACTTCCCGGAGACAAGCCTATGAGCTCCATTTCATCAACCTCCTGGATACTAGAGATCATGGACTAAACATAGACATTGGATTTTTGATACGTTACAATCTGCCTGGCAGCTGACTCCCCAGCCCAGCCCCTGGCTTCTTTACTTTTCATTCCATCCAGGAAGAGCACGCACCAACTGCTGAAACTTCCTTAGCCTGACGAAGGGTTTTTGAACCCGAAAGCTTGCTTAATAACTATTCTCCAACTATTTGGGTTGGTCTAACAAAAGATATCAAATTCACCCAAGGAACCTTGTCTACATTACATACATACATACAAATATATATCTATATCTATATTGAGAGAGAGAGAGATCTGCCTAGCTATATAGATAGATATCTATATCTATCTATAGATAGTTTTATTTTAATCATGGAAAGATGTGGATTTTGGGTTACTTTTTTTAATCCAAAAATTGGGGATTAGAAAATCAGGATCACTGGTCATAACTGTGCATGTTCTTTCTGTGTGTGTGTCTGTACACATGCATAAATAAAATATATCAAAGGACCCAATTCTTTCTGAAGTAACAGGTACCAGCAACTCTGATAGGGCTGGGAGTATTGTTCAGCACCTCTGACAGTCTGACCTCTGTCCATGATGCTTATAAAATATACACCATGCTTTTTTCTTTTTTGCTGTTTTTTTTTTTAATTCCTTTTAAAAACTAGTATCGCATTTTAGGTAGTGATTATTATTTAAGAGGAAAAAAATTGTTCAGTTCTAGGAAGGACAGCAGAAGTCTAGCACAAATTGGTGACCACAGCAAAGCTGAGGTGGTGTAAATACATGCACTGTTTTTCATAGATTCATAGATGTTAGGGTTGGAAGGGACCTCAATAGATCATCGAGTCCGACCCCCTGCATA